AATGTAACCTTTGGCAGAGATGAGGAATAAACTCGACTACTTGAGCTGAAATAGAGTCAATGCTGCTTTATCCTGAAAAGCTTCCTCCATCTGCAAGGTTTTTTCCAGGCAGTCAGCCTTTGTTCACTTGAATTATAGGCAGCCTCCAAAAGCTCATCCCATCCCTTTGTTCCCTTCTCCCTCACCAGGTCTTTAAGGCTTTTAGACTTCCTTTGATCCCAGGCTTAGCTTTAGGAAGACCCCTTCCACACTGAACTGAGTCAGCAATTGATAGCTTAATTCCTTTGAAGAAACATACCTAGAAGCTAACTTCTCTGTAACATTTCATGCTTGGTTGCTAAATATATCTCCATAATCTCTCCTTTACCTCCATGCGTTCTTCTCAGACCCTAAATTTCAATGTGAAGATTCGCTACTTCCTACTCAAAGTTCACTTTGCAATATTAAATCTCTTCAGCATAATGACTTGTCAGCTTCAACTCGGAGATTTCTCAGCATCAGCAGTTTTAATTCTTGCTTAACATGCTTTTCGCACGCTGGCAGTTGCACGTGACCTAGATTTAGTAGGCTATGCTTAAAGGGTCTTGAATGTTAGATAATAGCTTTTTTTCCCTGATTTATGTCTAAATGACAGCCCAAACCCCTAAATAGCTTTACCACATGTATGAGACAGGTTTCCTACAAGACATAAGGGATTACAGTATTTTGCTGATGCAAAAGCATGTAATGAGAGAAACAACTTCTCCAAACAAAAATAACCTGTGGTATTCTGCTTTGCTTAGCTCAGCCTTTTTCTTTATTAAAATCTAATCAGAACTGAAACACACCATTTCTAACAGTGCTATTCCTTACTGTTACTGCCTAAAAAGAACACCATGCTCAGGGTTAAAAGGCCCAACTTTGGTATTTAATGCTGCACTGGCTAATGTTTAATACAAGAGCATATTAATGCTCACAGCAAACCAAAGCAACACCATCACACATCAGCACTCAGATACACAATGCATAAAAATCAAGGCTATTCATGTACCATATCAGAGAAACATCCCTAAGTTCAAGTAGAAAGACAAGCAGCACATGTAAAGTGCTCATGGGTTTCCTTATGTATGTTTCTTTTTAAAAGCACTAGTGTGATATAATTAATTTATACTGTGGAGCAAGGAACAGTTCTGGTGCTGACAGTTTCTTCTGTGCCTATTAGCTATTCATAAATCATTCAATAGCATTTGGAAAGAACCTTTGAAGCAACAGGAAAAGCTTGGCAAAGCTTTTATCCTATTAAATACAAGTAGTGAAACTTCGTGTTTACAGCTCCCACCACTCACCACTCAAACAGCAAGATTTTTATGCTGGAAGCAGCAGCCCCCCCAAGTCACACAACAGTTTTCTTCCATAGCTCTAATGATAGAGGCACCTTTTGGATTCATTTTAGTTCTGAAAGTTGGGATTTACTGGTTGCAGTACAACCCAAATTATGCTTGAGTTACACCTGAAATTACCAAATCGTTATTTAATAATGATTTAAAGTGGTGTTATCTGAAGATGTGATTTCATTGAACCAGTTGCTTCAAAAAAGTTCATACTTTTACCAGTTTCTCCTCACTTTTATTCCCTCAAAATCCTTTGCAAAATCCTTTTTTAAAATGCATCCAAATTTTCCACAAACTGGAAGCTGTTTTAGAGATTTAAAACTTTGAAGCCAAGTTTAATGAGGGAAGAAAAGACACTGCCATCTATAAACAATAGCAGGGATTCTAACTCACTCTCACAGATAAGCAGCATGAAGTACCAGATGTTTAAAAAGGCAAAGGCCTCCTCCTGCTCCTATGGAGTTTATAATGCATGGCTGAAATGTGACAAAGCAAATATTAGTGTTAATGCACAGAACATATTCAAGAGTAAGATGCAATCACTCAGTTTCTCCACAACCTCAGACTGAGGAACAAGTAAACCCAGAGTGCTGAAGGCACTTTGTTTCTAGTAATGCTTTAATGCTGAGTGAATGGGTCTCTAAGAAAGGTTAATGAAGATTTCTAGAGATCCAAACTTGTGAAAGTGCCAACTAACACTATTTCACCCCGAGTCAGGCAGCAACTTCTCATATTTGGCATATTTTTATATCCTCTCAATCCTTCTGAACAATTTAGCTGCTTCAGTTTGAATTCTTAAGCTGCAGACAGTGAGACATCAAAGCAAGTTAATAAAACCCCATGTAATATATATTTGGCTTGTTCTTGTTGCTAAGCTACTAAAGCCCGGTTATGACTACAAGGCTGTAAAAGATTTGTAGCTGCATTTCTGACAAGGCAATGAGACATCAATCTAAGCACAGCAATAAAGACAACGATGGAAGTCACAAACCACACTATTTTGGTGGGGGTACAGCAACTCAGGCACCTCCAAACCTTCCCAATTCACAGTATCCATTGACCCAAGCAGCTTTTGCTGCTGTCTTTAGGTTTTCTTGTTAGGAATTCAAAACTTCAGGATATTTAAACACAGAAATTGAATTGGAAAGGGACTATCCAAAGGACTATCTCCAGTTGCTGAAATCTCTTGGCTTACTGAACAAGTAGGACAGGTTGTTCGTCTGCCAGATCATACCACCACCTCTGATCCAGGCTACACAGTTAGGAAAGTCAAATACCTGCAAGCAGACAGTGTGTAACATCTTACTAATATACTAATGTGCCTAAGGTTTTAATGGTGGTACCTGATAGGAATCTCAGATGAGTTCAGTGAACAAAGTTCTCTGAGATACAGAACACAAGCACACACTGTAAAGCTTAATTGTTAAGACCCAACATAAGCCTGTAAGGAAGCCTTTTTTGCGCACCCAGAAGGCTTCTGGTTCTTCAATTTGTCATAAGCAAAGTCAGTTGACTTAGTGACCACACTCCCCCCAGTGCTGCTGCTTGAAGAGTTTCTTGAGCCCATTAAATCTCATGTAAAAGAAATTGAACGTGGTTTTTCTCAAATGAAGCAGCAAAGGGAATATTCCAGCAATTCCACAGCTTCATGCATCCCCCCTCCAGTGAGGAATAAATATAGCTCATGTTGAGGCAAACAGATGTTGAGGCTGATAAAGGCAAACAGAACCATGTAAGAGGCAATTACCAAACAGGTTAGATAAGTCACCCGTGAATAACTTAACCCTTCAGTGAATCCAGCATTGTGTAGCCCCCTTGCTGAAGAAACATGAAGCAGAGCATGAAAGATTCCAATTAGTTCCCAAAGCCCTAAACACATTTGTAACCAGCTCCCTCCATTTCTTATCTCTATGGCATGGAACACCATCATTGCATCCTCTTTGCCTTGCTTCACTGATCTGCCAGCTTTTCTCCAAGCGAAAGTGCTTTTCCTCCCTTCCCCCAAATCCCACTGTTATTCTGATCACCGGGGTAGGGAAGGAAGGGAAGATATTTCTCAATTATCTGGAGGAAACAGATCTGCTAGAAGAGCTCACAAAAGAAATAGAAATGACTGGTTAGTCATTAAGAGCATAGTTTATTTATGCTGTCTGACCTTACCCTATGGTCAGGTGAAGTCAGCTTAGGCAGCTACACATCTGAAACAGACAAGTGCCAGCACAAACAAGAAAGCAAACAGAGAAGTACAGATCACTTATAGGACTGGGGGTCTTCTCCATGCAAAGCAGGATGCAAGGGTTTGCATTCATGGTAGTAATTAAACCAACACCACTAGTACAAATCACGTCTCTAAATCTCAACTTGCCCAAAAGATAAAACCTCAAAACAAGTTATGAGCATGATAAAGGGTCCTAGATGAAGTTGCAACTGTTTTATTCAGCAAGTCAGGTTCAACAGAAAGCTCCTCTTTGGAGAACATCTGTAACATTTTACTTATGCCACCAATAGATCCAAAAATGACATTTGATGAGCTCTGAAAATGAACATGTTTGGGAAAACCTGGAGGCAGAAGTCACCAGCGTCTCTCATGGCACTGCCTACACTGATTATTGACCCCTCTATGGATTCAAGTATTGACTAGTAACTTCATATGTAAACACACTTTTAACTGCAGGAAGACTGCACAAAAGAATTTATGCATTCCAGGCACACAGCTTCAATCTCTGATGCCCTTTTATCATATAGATATAAAAATACAGACTTTGCATTTGAGATGCTAACCTGGAAATCATATTCATAAAATAGCATTTAATGAACATTATTTTAGAGAGTTGGTTGAGTGGTTCTGTTTCACCACAACTGAGCATGTTATAAAGCACAACTGCATCTATAAGCCAAAGCAAACAGAATATACATGCATTATATACCCATTTATACCATACACACACATTGTTGATTTATTCCCTCATTGAAGCATGCTCAGTCTGGTACTTCCATTCAGCTTCATGTAATGTTTTCTGGTATCTGACAGAGCATATGATTTTCTGGAGCTGATAAAGATAATACCAGATAACACCATAGGCAGTTTATTGTAAACCTAATCACAGCACTCACCGTAAATTCAACACTGTCTACTATTCTAAACCCCATTACCACCCCATTATTAGCTAAAGCTATTGGCATCATGGTTTATTCATGTGGTATAAACTAGGCAGATCACATAAAACAAGACTCACCAGTGGTTTGAAATAAATGCAGTAATTTACTAGGAAAAGCCGATTTATCTAACTTTAAAGTACTGTAACCTGAAGCATTTCTCCATATATAAGAAAAAGCTTCATTGCAATACTTTATCATCTAACATTGTTTCTAGGACACTTACCTTTTAGTAAAGAACTTAAGACTTAAACCAGGTCAACATTTTCACAGAGAAAATCAATATTAGACAGAAGATGAATGCACATAAAAATCCTTAAACAGGGTCACACAACTGAATCTATGGCACAGCCAGTAACTAAAAGCCAAATCCTTTTTTACCTGATGTACTTTCAGCTGGCAAACCCTTCTTCCTCTGCCTTCAATCAATGCAAAAAGATACAGTTTCAGCTAACAGAAATGAGGATTACTTACCAATTTGTAACAATACAGGTGTTACCAAAGCTGTCTCCATGGCATAACAGAATTCCCTGCCAAACATTACTGCACCGTGCATCACCCACAGGCGTATCGGTATCCGGTCTATGGAGCCTTCACTAATGGTCTCCTCCCTACTTTCATTCTCCTTGTTTTCTGGTTTCTGAAGCTGTACCACAGGTAGATCTTGAACTTGCATAGATTCCGAGTCAGCATTCTGGGGAGCCATATTCATTACCATAAAAATATATATATATATTTGTTATATCTATATAAATAATACTACCATAACTGCACAAACAAGTTAGGGTGTCTTCTCTTTCAGCCTCTGTTCCTCAGGCAAGTAACGCTTATATTCCTCTTGTACAAACAAGTATCTTGCAGCTTCTTGGATAGATACGAGACCTCAAGAACAAAAAGCTATTTGGTAGGAATTTCAACATATGGCTTTGCTGGTTTACTGAGAGTTAGAGTTAAAAATCCATAATTGCCATTCAGTTAATACCAGTTTCATAATTATTATTGAAGAAGTGCTGAAGGTGTTAGTCTTGCTACACAGAGGTGGAAAGGCGACACAAAGAGGTGCTCCACTGTTAATCCCCATCGAGTGGCTGATTAATCTGCAACAAAAAGCAAGCATTTCAAAATTTCAATAGCATTTCTCAGGATATTGTGCCCCCCCCCCCCCTTAACCATATACCCTATTTCCTGCTTTATGCTTTCCATTGTCCTTGCCTACCATAGGGTCTTTTATTCCACATTCCCTCCTACCTCTGGACTTTCCATTGAAATGCAGTTACTCCTCAGATTTAAAGGCTGCTTGATTGTACTTGTAAGTTCCTCCAGACTGTGGTGCTGCACAAAGCCAGAGATCAGTGCATTTGCTTGAGATCCTCAGAGCACTGAGAACAAGACTAACAGATTCTGGGAAATTTACTGCAGGTTCCATTTCAGACACAGCATAGGATATTCCAGTACTATGCCAGGAAGATGATTCATCCATTACCATTTACTCACTGGCCGCACAGACATTAACGTCTGTCAACTTTTGGAAGTTGCCAGTTTCTTTGCAGCATCCATCACACCATCTTACGATGAAGCTATCCCTCAAGCATGAGTAAAAATAAGCCATTAGAAAGATAACTCTAAAGGTTTATATTTAAATTTCTAATGAAGATATAGACAGCACAGGCATCAATCTTCACTTACTCCCACATCCTATGAGGTTTCTTAAGCCCATGAAAGTAGAATGATGACTATCTTCTACCATACATTTAATTATTAAAATGTATTCCAACCAAGATAAGCTTCTACATTCCCCCCTCTGTGCATAGACAAAGTCTAAACTGACAGACATACTGTATCATGTCAATCAAAATGTGTTTAAGCACTTGAGAAGAAAGCACTCTATTAGAAGTCAGATTATATCATGTTTGTACTAATGTTTGTACTAGAAGGATGCACATTGACATCTCTGCACACAGTGTGACTGCACATTTGGGGGAATGGTTCCACGAGGTGCTGGCTTTGGCAACAGAGGTGGCCCAAGAAGTCCCCACACTGCAGTTCCTGCCCCTTCAGCAGTGGCAACAAAAACCCCTGTGGGGGCCAGAGCATAAACCAGATCATGAAGTGGTGAACCTAAAAATGAACACTAAGAAGAACACAATGTGTTTGGGGTTTAAAGCACATCCCAACAGCAACTGCTTCAACGTGACCTGACACACCATTTTACTAGAAGAACAGCAAAGGAACATCATCATCTTCTGTGCTCCCTGCTGATACCCTCCTTCCTGCTGTACGCCCCAGGCAGTTTACTGAGTGCATTTTGTTCTTTCTTTCACAGAACCCCAGACTGCTTTGAGTTGGAAGGGACCTTAAAGCTCATCCAGTTCCAATCCCCGGCCACAAGCAGGGACACCTTCCACTAGAGCAGGTTGCTTCAAGCCCCTTGTATCCAACCTGGCCTTGAACACTGCCAGGGATGGGGCAGCCACAGCTTCTCTGGGCACCCTGTGCCAGTGCCTCGGCACCCTCACAAGGAAGAAGTTCCCCCTAATAGTTCATTCCAATGTCCCCTCTGTCAGGTTAAAGCCATTCCCCCTTGTCCTATCCCTGTACGTCCTTGTAAAGAGTCCTTCTCCAGATTTCTTGTAGGCCCTCTTTAGAATCTTCTGTTTGGGTTTTTTCTCCTCCCATGCTCCCCAGGATTACTGGAGTGCTCCAATTTGATCCCCTCAAGAACAATTTAAAACTATAATTTGCTTTGAAACCTTGAAATCACGTGAGAGAAGGTAGAATAACTTACTGAACACAAGTGCTACAAGCAGTTTTAAGCTCCAACTTTTAATCTGTAAGCATTAAATAGCTCAGAACAAAAAAGACTCAGGAAAGTATTTCTCCCATCAACTCAGAATTAACAGGAGGAGTTTGAGATGCATGGCCTGGGGTTACTGCATTATGGCACAAACAGGCACCTATTCAAGTTCTTCATAAACACCTTGTTTTTATAAAGGTTTTTCTTTCCATCAGTCAGGGTTTGGATTTGCTGAGCTCCTGCAAGCAGCAGAGTCCATCTGCCTCCTTCCAGTAGCGAGTACAGTGTTGAACTTGCATCAGGAGGGTAAGGGATGCAATTCTCTTGCTTTGCTTTAGTGCCTGAGGTTCCAACTTAAGCCTTGAAGGGCTATTAAAGTTACCACAAAAAGGAAGTTAAGTAGCATGTGTATTAAAAGAAACACACTTCCACTTCTCTTAACACAAGTTCTGGGTGAGGAAAACTTAGGAAATCCAGGTTCCAGAGAAGGAGCAATTATTTTAGTTACAGACTAGTCATAAAACATTTCATTGCTGGCAGAGTCAGACAAAGTTACATGCAGTAGAATGTAAAAGTTTAAATATCAGCTCTTATTATTCAGAAATCACCCAGAACATGTATGTTGTATTCCAGACTACAGGTCACGGACAACACTCCTGCACAAGATGGCTTTAAAGTCTCTAATGTTTTCTTACACTTATTTTCCCCTCCTGTCACTCTGTATGAAGGATTTAACTCAATTTCCCTCCACACCTCATTTAATGCACAGTTCCAGGGTAGCAGAACAGAGAGGAAGGCAGTTCATCACAACAGAATGTTTTATGATGCCTGCAGACGCAAGCAGGATGACACCAGGCTGGGAGCATTTGTCATTGGGAAGGATAAAGAGACAGGACAAAAGAGGGTATCTAAGATTAAGCTCATTTGAGCCTGACTCTTAAGGGATGATTGAAAATGTTATTCTGGAAGTGGAAGATGATGGGGACAGATGAGATAATAGACACAGGAATAATGGATGATAGATGGAGGTAGACTTTGAAACTGTAACTGACACAGATAAGAACAACAGGAGATTTTAAACATGCCAGAAACAGCAGTTACAGTTTTCAAGTGCAACAGCAAGAGGCTCAATGGACAGGTTTTATCTAAAGGAACAGAGAATTACTGTTCCATTATGTCAATTCTGTGGGAATTGTTCTTCCTGCAGCACTTTCATCTGCCTCCAAGTGCATATCTAATACAAGAGCCAGAGAATAACAAGAGCCTCTCAGAAAGGTCTCCCAGCTCTTCCACAAGCTCTGCTAGGCTGTGTTCATACTCATTTTAGACTGATCCAGATTGTGCTGCTGCTCCTTCCAAGCTCATTTTGAATCTGGCAACTATGAATAGTGGCATTCTTCCTTATCAGAATGCGAGCTAAAGTCATTTACCTGCTGGAACTGTCACAGAAACTTTTCTGCAGCACAGAACTCTAAAGTGAATGGCATCTAAAGAGAACCTGGATTGAAGGAAGGTATTTTTTCATGTTTGTTGGCTACTAAAACCAAACCTGAATTGACAGTACATCCTTTTGAATTGTAATATTCAATATCCATGGTAATTTCCAATAGTCCCTTTACTCCTGTGGTTCAAAGGTTTTATTGTGTGGAGTCCACCTCAGAAATAAGACAGCATTAGTACCATAAAACTGATGAACTAGGCTTACATTTTACCTGTCATTCAAGAAGACTGGGTACTAAGAGAGCACAGGAGCGAGAGGTATAGGAGTAAGAAGTGTAGAAACCTTTCACCCATCCCTTTCTGACCATGTAGCACCTGAAGATAATCATTTTAAAAGGTAAACTGGCCCATAAGACAGTAGTTATCCCAGAAAGCTGAGACCACGTCCCCGTTCTGCTATGCACTCTCACCATACTTTCCATAAAGCTTTAAAAAGGCATCTTACTGTGAAGGTGCCGAGATGCTGGCACAGGATGCCCAGAGAAGCTGTGGCTGCCCCATCCCTGGCAGTGTTCAAGGCCAGGCTGGACACAGGGGCTTGGAGCAACCTGCTCTAGTAGAAGATACTCACTTGGAGTATTGTGTGCAGTTCTGGTGTCCTCAACATAAAAAGGACATGGAACTGTTGGAACAAGTCCAGAGGAGGCCACAAGGATGATCAGGGGCTGGAGCACCTCCTGTGTGAAGTTAGGCTGAGAAAGTTGGGGCTGTTCAGCCTGGAGAAGAGAAGGCTGCGTGGAGACCTCAGAGCAGCTTCCAGTGTCTGAACGGGGCCTATAGGGATGCTGGGGAGGGGCTCTTCATTAGGGACTGTAGTGACAGGACAAGGGGTAATGGGTTAAAACTTAAACGGGAAGTTTAGATTGGATATAAGGAAGTTCTTTACTGTGAGGGTGGTGAGGCACTGGAATGGGTTGCCCAGGGAAGCTGTGAATGCTCCATCCCTGGCGGTGTTCAAGGCCAGGTTGAACAGAGCCTTGGGTGACATGGTTTAATGTGAGGTGTGTCTGCCCATGGAAGGGGTGTTGGTACTTGATGATCTTAAGGTCCTTTCCAACCCTAACTATTCTACAATTCTATGTCCCTGCCCGTGGCAAGGGTTGGAACTGGATGAGCTTTAAGGTCCTTTCACACCCAAAGCACTCTGGGATTTTATGATTTTCATGACTAACAAGGAAGTAGAATGAAGAATTTCAGCCATGGGAACAGGTTCATGTCAGGCATTGCACAGCGGTTGGGTATGAAGAGAAGTGCAGCCACAGAAATATTCCTGATCATGCAAAATGTTACCAGGAGGAGGGCACTGATGACACCAGCTCTTCAACCTAATTGCACATGTTTTACTTTGACCTTTGGTCACATTGCAACAATGACAAAACCTATAAAGGGGTAGTTAATATTTCAACAAAACATGCAAGTAATATATCCTGAGAACTGATCTGTAAGCAAAACATCACAAAACCTGCTCAAATTGCCTGTATTCTGTTAGACTTTTACACTGGACACCAGATTCAACTGCACAGGGTGCTGGGCCATCTTGGCTGTACTATGCTTTGCCAAGAAAGGTTGGACTAAAGGATTCATGAGGTCCCTTCCAACCTGGGATTCTATGATTCCATCTAGACACAAGTCACGACATGACTATAAAGCATAGAAACAAGCTATATCTTAGTAATCCTGTGCCTCAAATAGGCAGTATTTACAGATAAAGAACATGACCCATCACAGAACCAAAGGAAAATTGCTGCTTTTCTTTAGGGTTTTCCAAAAAGAGGAAGAATTATAAAAGGTCATATTTGTGGC